TTGAATTGAATTGAATTGAATTGAATTGAATTGAATTGAATTGAATTGAATTGAATTGAATTGAATTGAATTGAATTGAATTGAATTGAATTGAATTGAATTGAATTGAATTGAATTGAATTGAATTGAATTGAATTGAATTGAATTGAATTGAATTGAATTGAATTGAATTGAATTGAATTGAATTGAATTGAATTGAATTGAATTGAATTGAATTGAATTGAATTGAATTGAATTGAATTGAATTGAATTGAATTGAATTGAATTGAATTGAATTGAATTGAATTGAATTGAATTGAATTGAATTGAATTGAATTGAATTGAATTGAATTGAATTGAATTGAATTGAATTGAATTGAATTGAATTGAATTGAATTGAATTGAATTGAATTGAATTGAATTGAATTGAATTGAATTGAATTGAATTGAATTGAATTGAATTGAATTGAATTGAATTGAATTGAATTGAATTGAATTGAATTGAATTGAATTGAATTGAATTGAATTGAATTGAATTGAATTGAATTGAATTGAATTGAATTGAATTGAATTGAATTGAATTGAATTGAATTGAATTGAATTGAATTGAATTGAATTGAATTGAATTGAATTGAATTGAATTGAATTGAATTGAATTGAATTGAATTGAATTGAATTGAATTGAATTGAATTGAATTGAATTGAATTGAATTGAATTGAATTGAATTGAATTGAATTGAATTGAATTGAATTGAATTGAATTGAATTGAATTGAATTGAATTGAATTGAATTGAATTGAATTGAATTGAATTGAATTGAATTGAATTGAATTGAATTGAATTGAATTGAATTGAATTGAATTGAATTGAATTGAATTGAATTGAATTGAATTGAATTGAATTGAATTGAATTGAATTGAATTGAATTGAATTGAATTGAATTGAATTGAATTGAATTGAATTGAATTGAATTGAATTGAATTGAATTGAATTGAATTGAATTGAATTGAATTGAATTGAATTGAATTGAATTGAATTGAATTGAATTGAATTGAATTGAATTGAATTGAATTGAATTGAATTGAATTGAATTGAATTGAATTGAATTGAATTGAATTGAATTGAATTGAATTGAATTGAATTGAATTGAATTGAATTGAATTGAATTGAATTGAATTGAATTGAATTGAATTGAATTGAATTGAATTGAATTGAATTGAATTGAATTGAATTGAATTGAATTGAATTGAATTGAATTGAATTGAATTGAATTGAATTGAATTGAATTGAATTGAATTGAATTGAATTGAATTGAATTGAATTGAATTGAATTGAATTGAATTGAATTGAATTGAATTGAATTGAATTGAATTGAATTGAATTGAATTGAATTGAATTGAATTGAATTGAATTGAATTGAATTGAATTGAATTGAATTGAATTGAATTGAATTGAATTGAATTGAATTGAATTGAATTGAATTGAATTGAATTGAATTGAATTGAATTGAATTGAATTGAATTGAATTGAATTGAATTGAATTGAATTGAATTGAATTGAATTGAATTGAATTGAATTGAATTGAATTGAATTGAATTGAATTGAATTGAATTGAATTGAATTGAATTGAATTGAATTGAATTGAATTGAATTGAATTGAATTGAATTGAATTGAATTGAATTGAATTGAATTGAATTGAATTGAATTGAATTGAATTGAATTGAATTGAATTGAATTGAATTGAATTGAATTGAATTGAATTGAATTGAATTGAATTGAATTGAATTGAATTGAATTGAATTGAATTGAATTGAATTGAATTGAATTGAATTGAATTGAATTGAATTGAATTGAATTGAATTGAATTGAATTGAATTGAATTGAATTGAATTGAATTGAATTGAATTGAATTGAATTGAATTGAATTGAATTGAATTGAATTGAATTGAATTGAATTGAATTGAATTGAATTGAATTGAATTGAATTGAATTGAATTGAATTGAATTGAATTGAATTGAATTGAATTGAATTGAATTGAATTGAATTGAATTGAATTGAATTGAATTGAATTGAATTGAATTGAATTGAATTGAATTGAATTGAATTGAATTGAATTGAATTGAATTGAATTGAATTGAATTGAATTGAATTGAATTGAATTGAATTGAATTGAATTGAATTGAATTGAATTGAATTGAATTGAATTGAATTGAATTGAATTGAATTGAATTGAATTGAATTGAATTGAATTGAATTGAATTGAATTGAATTGAATTGAATTGAATTGAATTGAATTGAATTGAATTGAATTGAATTGAATTGAATTGAATTGAATTGAATTGAATTGAATTGAATTGAATTGAATTGAATTGAATTGAATTGAATTGAATTGAATTGAATTGAATTGAATTGAATTGAATTGAATTGAATTGAATTGAATTGAATTGAATTGAATTGAATTGAATTGAATTGAATTGAATTGAATTGAATTGAATTGAATTGAATTGAATTGAATTGAATTGAATTGAATTGAATTGAATTGAATTGAATTGAATTGAATTGAATTGAATTGAATTGAATTGAATTGAATTGAATTGAATTGAATTGAATTGAATTGAATTGAATTGAATTGAATTGAATTGAATTGAATTGAATTGAATTGAATTGAATTGAATTGAATTGAATTGAATTGAATTGAATTGAATTGAATTGAATTGAATTGAATTGAATTGAATTGAATTGAATTGAATTGAATTGAATTGAATTGAATTGAATTGAATTGAATTGAATTGAATTGAATTGAATTGAATTGAATTGAATTGAATTGAATTGAATTGAATTGAATTGAATTGAATTGAATTGAATTGAATTGAATTGAATTGAATTGAATTGAATTGAATTGAATTGAATTGAATTGAATTGAATTGAATTGAATTGAATTGAATTGAATTGAATTGAATTGAATTGAATTGAATTGAATTGAATTGAATTGAATTGAATTGAATTGAATTGAATTGAATTGAATTGAATTGAATTGAATTGAATTGAATTGAATTGAATTGAATTGAATTGAATTGAATTGAATTGAATTGAATTGAATTGAATTGAATTGAATTGAATTGAATTGAATTGAATTGAATTGAATTGAATTGAATTGAATTGAATTGAATTGAATTGAATTGAATTGAATTGAATTGAATTGAATTGAATTGAATTGAATTGAATTGAATTGAATTGAATTGAATTGAATTGAATTGAATTGAATTGAATTGAATTGAATTGAATTGAATTGAATTGAATTGAATTGAATTGAATTGAATTGAATTGAATTGAATTGAATTGAATTGAATTGAATTGAATTGAATTGAATTGAATTGAATTGAATTGAATTGAATTGAATTGAATTGAATTGAATTGAATTGAATTGAATTGAATTGAATTGAATAAAGCTACAAATAAAACCTAATAAAGCTATAAATATAAAATTTTGTATAGATGTGTCCAGTTATATTCTATACATGCTCTAAAAATTATAATGGGATAGCTGCACCGGTTCGGGTACCTGCCATACAACTCCAGAAGCTAATTTTAAATATTTGGAAAAATAATATAGTCAGATACATGAAACTTGACAGTTGTGTGTCGAGTAATAGGTCAGATATATTTCTGAAGTTTTGGTTGAATTGCTCTACAGCTACGAGTAGCTCACATACAAGTCCCAAAGTTTAAATATTTGGAAAAATAGAATCAGATTCATGAAACTTGCCAGTTGTGTGTCCAGTTATAAATCAGACATATCCGTGAAATTTCTATAGAATGATTTCACAGGTTTAAGTAATTGCTATACAACAACGAAAGGTGCAGGGTATAATTCAATCGGTTTATACCGACTGAAACGTTTTTACTTGTTTTCATTTCATTTTATTTATTTCAATTACTTAAACTAATATTACAAAGGTATTCCATAGAATATTTATATTGCATCTATCAACTGCATACAAGCATTGAATATCATAAAAAATAAACTAGATAATAAAACCGTTATAACTAAAAATGTGATGCAATTCAAGTATGTAAAGTAAAAAGAAATAAGAAAAATTCCATTCTTGTATCAAATTAGGAACGTGCGAATGAAATCATACAATTGAAAACTTAAATTAAAATTAACTGTGATTAACTTAAAAACTAAGGCAAAAAAAATTACTAATGTGGGGTTAAACAAAGAAAAATTAAAATTAAATTTCTAAAATATCATACAATAATACGAAAGTAAAATATAAAGGAAAAAACAAAAACAAAACATAATAAGATCAAGGGAAAACTAAAATATTTAACAAAATATTAAAAAATAGTCATGCTGCATAGAAGTTAAAACTATAAAAATTTAGCGAATGACTTGCAGTAAATTTTCGATTTGGAAGTGGTCAAATTCAAATAACCAATTTTTCAAACCTCGCAAAAACGTTGATAAGCACCTTTCAGATCTAATCGAATCCGGTAAATTATTAAAAATTCTTGGCGCAATAATTGTATAAAAATGACTGAAATGCGATGTACGTGATCTAGGCACAATAACACGGTTCATGTTACTAATTCTAAGCCCATACCCCGCAACAGTCCGTTGATTTAGGTACCCGGACCTTTTGAAAAAAATCCTCAAAGTTTTATAAAAATTGAGATGCCTAAGCGGAAAAATCTTAAGTGCACAAAACAAGGGGAAACTAGGTGTAAGGCGATTTACCTTTAAAACGATTCTAAGAAAGTGTTTCTGTGCCAAAAGTAAAGGTCTTATTCTTAACCGAAAACACCATAGTAGAAGATTTTCATTACTTTACAAGAACAATAAGAGCTCAATTGAAAATCATACCTTATAACCTTGTTTAAATACTTCTTTAGATAGCAGAAATGTTCAGACCAATTCAATTTATTATCAAAATTAAGACTTAAGTATTTGAAAGAAGAAACACATTCAGTTGGAAAACAATTCATATCACAAGAACACAAATTATTAAAACATACCAAGTTATCAATAGAAGTTGGAACCATTATATCACGAAAATTGCCAGTTAGACCAAAAAGCATATATTTAGTCTTTGAGCTTATAACAAACCCATGAGTGTAAAACCACCTTCTAATTAGGTCCAAATCATAGTTCATATCGCTAAATACACTGGAACGATTACTACAACTGTATGAGAACAAAGTGTCATCTGCAAAAGCAGTCGGATGACCCTTAAAACGTTGAATCAATAGTGAATTGATAAAAACAAGGAACAATATTGGACCAAGAACCGAGCCCTGCGGTACACCCATATGTACATTAGATACACCATTGTATGAATTACCAACTCTTACCTTCTGTTTTCTATTCGAAATAAAGGATTCAAACCAATTCAAAACAAATCCCCTGAAGCCTGCATTAAATAATTTATGAAGTAAGTGTGAATGTTGAACTGTGTCAAATGCCTTAGCAATGTCAATAAAAATTGCAGCACACGTATTACCAGCATTTAAACCATCACAAATCTCTGTACAAAACTTCATCAAAGCATCCTCGGTACATTTTCCTTTTCTAAAACCGAACTGATTATTTTAGAAAAAATTTGTTTTATTTAAAAAATTGAGAATTCTATGCTTCATGGCCTTTTCAAACACTTTCGAAATGGGGAAAAGAATTGAAGTGGGTCTGTAATTACCTGGGTCTAAAGTGTTACCTTTCTTAAAAAGTGGAATAACTACGGCTGTTTTAAGATCAGGTAAATTACCAATATAAGCACTTGAATTAAAAATATGGCATTAAACATCAACAATAAGAAAAGATATCTCTTTAAAAACATTTGAAGACAGTAAATCTGATGACTTAGAGTTCGAGCTTTTCAAGCCCACTATTAATTTATGAATTTCTGATGCCGTAAAAGGTTCAAAAAAGAAACTTTCACGGCCATATGTTTCAGGAATAATATATGACGAAACCCAATTACGATCAAGAATTTCACTACTATCTACACACAACAAATTTTCACCAACACATTAAATTTTCACCAACATATTAAAATGTTTACTAAAACAGTTGGAAACTTCAGAAGGATTACTTAAAATAACAGACTCCTCTTCAAGCACAATATCAGGATCTAAAACCATATCTTTATTTAAAATAGAATTCATAATTTGCCATTCAACTTTAGAATTACCCCTATTTGCATTCAATTTACTAAAGTAGTAATTATCTTTTGAATTCTTAATTTTAACCTTAACGTTTTTGCATAATTTTTTTATAATAAGAAACTAAACGAACAGTATTTGGATTCTTTTCAACTTTTGGACGTAATTTATTTCTTTTCTCAATAAAATTAATAAGACCATTTGTCATCCACGGCTTCAATCTTTTGTCCCTATTACGTATCATAACACTATTACTACAATTCGCAATGTGTTTCATAAGAATATCATAAAAGATCGAATAAGCAACCGAAGTGTCATCCACAATATAAACATCAGACCAGAATTCAAACAACAAAGCTGTCCTCAATTTATTAGAATCATTTTTTTGAAACGAATTCTCATAAATATAATTATTAGATCGAACCACAGACGAATATTCAATTTTTAAACTTAACATGAAATGGTCAGTTATACATAGGTCCAAAACTTCACCAAAAATCAAAAATTTATTATTATTACACAGTCTCATAAAGATATGGTCAATGCAAGAACCAGAAACTGGCCGGGTAATTTCTGAAATTATAGATTCAAGCCCTAAAGAAGACAATAAAAGAACATAATCATCAATTTCTCTGCCCTGGGACAAGATGTTAATATTGAAATCCCCCAGTAAAAACAAATTTTTGCAAGTGATATCTGATAAGAAACTAAAAAATTCTGTATTAAATTCTGTTCCGAGTGGGACAGGAGCATCCCCCAAGCCACCGCAGCCATTTTTGACTTATTGTAGCCACCCCACTCTCCCGTCTATAATATCCCCGTCCCAATCACAAAGCCGGAGATATCCCTAAGGGAGTTGGACAACAGTTCCCGAACACTTAGGGACCCATGTCCAAGTCAATTGCGGCGCCGAACAGCCGGTGCCGGACAGACCGCCGTGCACATTCTCTGCGATGTGCACGGCGGTCACATCGCCATCCCCACAAAATCTGCAAAGGGGGGAGCCCGACTTCCCCAGCCTATGCAGGTGGTACTTCACCGGGCAGTGCCCCGTGAAGAAATCGTGCGAACCTGGCGACTGCTCATCCCCAGCAACTCCGCGGCGAATCCGTTGCCCGCATGGCCACTATGGCCCGGTACCCAAATGAGCATCACTCTGTTCTCCGATGCCAATTCCATAAGTGCAGCAAGGCAGCTCCAGACCAGCTTGGATGTAACCTGAGCTGAACGGAGCGCCAGCAGTGCAGCCCTGCTGTCTGAGAACACATAGATGGCGCGGTTTCTATACCCCCTTTCCCAATTGATTCTCAGACAGATCCCTATTGCATGTATTTCGGCCTGGAACACTATGCAATACGGGTTAAGGGTTGCATATACCCGCGTGTCCGGGCGGACACCGTATACGCTCGAACCCACACCCGACTACGTTTTGGACCCGTCCGCATACCACACGCTCGAACACGACCTAAGTACCGAACCACCCCGATCCCACGTCCATCGATCGGGAAGCAGAACCCTGTACCTGTGGTCGAAGTTGTACCGCGGCAGACAGGTATCTGACATGGTTATTCTTAGAATCGGATCGCCCTCAATGAAGTCTCTGTGAGTTCTGTGGGCCAACTTTAGCCGTGCCCCGTCCTCGCCAGAGAGAAGTCGGTAAGTCGCCAGCCGAGCTTCCTTCAATATATGGAGGTGCAGTGGCGGCAATCCGATCATCACCTCCAATGCAGCGGTGGGAGCCGTTCGCATCGCCCCGGTCACTCCCAGGCAGGCCAGCCTCTGTAGCATTTCCAGCTTGGCCCGCACACCCGCCTGCTGAGCCTTACGGCACCATACAATCGACGCATAGGTGACGATGGGCCTAGCAAGGGCCGTATATAGCCACAGTGCTATTCTGGGACTAATTCCTCAGGTCCCCCAATGAAGCTCCTACACGTCCACAAGACCGCCGTAGCTCTCCCGATAACTCTATCGATATGGGTATTCCACGAGAGACGATCATCCAGGGTTTACCCCCAGATACTTCACCTCCCTCGAGTAACTAATACGTTCACCAAACAGAATTGGGCTCGTTAATCTGTCCCTGCTTCTACGTCTGGTGAAGGCGACCAAAGTGCTCTTGCTTGGATTTATATTTAACTCAACGCCTTTGCACCACCTTTCCACAACACGTAAATTTTGCTGTAGAAGATCAGAAATAGTGCTCTCGAATTTTCCCCGCACGACGAAGGCCACATCGTCAGCGTATCCCCAGACACGCGCCCCGGAGCCCCTGAGAGCAGCGATTAGATCATCCACCACAAACGACCACAGGAGGGGCGAAAGAACCCCGCCCTGCGGACATCCTTTTGCAGCGGAGATGAAGAGTATATCGTCAGCTATGGTGGACTTAATAATCCTATCCTGTAGCATCCGATTAACCCATCTGCTAATCGTCGCATCAATCCCTCGTTTGTGCAACAACTCACAGATGACATGATATGGGGTGTTGTCAAAAGCTCCCTCTATATCAAGAAAGCAGCCAACTGCCACCTCCCGCACCTCCAGTGAGTTTTCAAGGACCCCCACCAGACTCTGCAGAGCGAGTACAGTAGACCTTCCCGACTGGTAGGCGTACTGAGATTCATGCAAGGGATTGCTTCCCAGTGCACCGTCCCGTATAAATCTATCAATCACTTTTTCCATTGCTTTCAATAGAAAAGAAGTAGGCTGATTGGACGGAAAGACCTTGGGTGGTGGCTTGATCGCTTACCCACCTTCGGAATATACGTCACTTTAGCCACCCTCCATGCCTGAGGGATGTAACCCCAGGCATAGCTGGCACGAAAAATTTCCAACAGTGCTCTAGCGATATGTTGGAAACCCCTCTGCAAAAATGCAGGATATATCCCGTCATCACCTGGAGATTTGAAGGGCCTGAAAGAGAAAACAGCCCATCTAGTCCTGCCCATCATGAAGACCAGACGGGATTGTTGCCAGTCATCCCTCCTGGGGAAAGATGCCCTCGGTTCGATGACTGCATTTGAGTGATTCCGAAGAATCTCCGAGTCAGGAAAGTGCGTTGACGACATAAGCTCCAACGTCTGCTTTCCGTTCTCAGTCATGAAGCCATCAGGACGTTCCATCAGGCCCAACCCGCTAGCATACTTTTTGGAAGGCACTCTGTGAAGACGCGCACTGCTGGGGAGTTCATCAATGCCCTTGCAGAACTTCTCTTCGTTTTCCTAATTTCTTTATTGTATTTTATGAGTAAGTCCCTATACTCTTCCCACGAACCTGACGCCTTGGCCTTATTGAATAGCTTCCTGGTCTTTAGTCTAAGCCTTGAAAGCTCCTCATTCCACCACGGGCACTTCCTATTGCTCCGCCTCGGCTTAGCATGGCAGCTCCCGTGATAGGCATTAGTAATAGCCGCCGTCAGGGCCTCGCTGGCCAGTTCGATATCCATCACCGTTCTGACAGATTCAGGAACGGATCCAATCTCATCCATGAGGAGCGTTTCGAATTGACTCCAATCTGTGGATTGGGGCACCCGATAAATTTCTTCTGCCAGGCCCCCGGAGATCATGATATCAAACCTAGTCTGCCTATGATCGGACATGGATATCTTATTTGAGACATGCCATCCACCAACCCTACTGCCGATAAATTCAGTGCAAAGGGTGATATCAAGGACCTCTTCCCTAATTGCATTTATGAATGTCGGCCTATTGCCTTCATTCATAATCATTAATTTATTGCTATATATAAATTCAAGTAGGCACTCACCTTTTTTGTTTATATTGCTGCTTCCCCAGACGATGTGGTGGGCATTGGCATCACTTCCTATTATAAGTCGGAATTTCCTCCTTCCACAAAAGTCCACTAGATCCTTTAGTTGCTCGTCCGGGTGGACACAGTCCCCCGGGAGGTAGGATGAGCACACAATGAACTCTGTCCAGCCCCCGCAGGACTGCACCTTCACCAACGCAGCTACTTGATCCTTAGAACAGTAATCTGGAATGGGTAAATACGTTAGCCTTTTACAAAACAAAATGCAAGCCCTAGGCCTGCCCCCAGTTGTATTATCATACAATAGCTCACCTCTTAGGCCATTAACCTGATGCTTCACTATGTAAGGCTCTTGGGTAAGGGCAATATCGAGATGATCCTTCATAAATCTATGAGCCAGAACATCAGTAGATGCCCTAGCATGCTGTAGATTTATTTGGATGCACCTCACAGCCATATTATTTTCTCCGGCTCTTGTCTATGGGCTTTGGCCCTTTAGACAAAGGCTTTCCATGTGACTAACGTTTCCCAAACAGGGTCTTAATGGTGGACCCAAGTTTTTTAGAGCCAAGCGTACAATTTTCAAGATAGCTCAACCGATTGGATCTTTGGCCGCAAACTGGTCGAATAGTACAGCCAGGATTATTGACACGGAGTCTGTCTCGTTGCGCGGCAGGCCTGGCAGCCTCTAGCGGAAAATTTTATATGACCTTTTTGATTCTTTCCATAGGGTTTAATCAATTCGTTTCTTAGACAAATATGTCACGAAACATTTTTCCACCTACAAGTGCCGTTGGAGGTGGGGAAAGCGCACTGAAAGCTCCATCAACGAAGGCCGCGAACCCTGGCCAATTGGTCTTGTTGGTGTTCATGCAGGTTTGCATCAGACTCCTCAACTGTGATCACAATTGGGATATGATCAGAGCTAAACGATGCCATCCAAGATTCCCTAGTTTATTAATGGTGACAAATCTTCATTAATGGTGACAAATAGTTCTTTAAAAAAAAAATAAATTTTGGCTAAATTTATATTAATGGTTATTGTAATGACTTATTTTAATTAAACAACGATTAAAGTTTTAGCGACCTTAAAGTGGCACAGTATTTCAACAAGCACCTCGGTAAGCGGCCAATGAATTCTATGCACACTTTTTCCTCCGATTGAAAAAAATGCAAATATTGTAGTTATTACATAGCAGAGTCTTTCGATCATTAGTTTATCTTCAATTTTGTTTTAAAAAAAATCCTCCTTACAAACTAAATTAATATGAGACATACAAAAGCTCAATCTTCTTAAAGCGGTATGAAGAAAATAAGAACAAAATATTTAACATTTAAAAAGAAATCATAGAAGAATAGAAGTGACTATTAAATTGTCAGTCCGGGAAAAAGAAAAATCAATACCAGACATGCAGCAAAGCAGAAAAAATCAGTTTTTTATGGTGTAAAAATTTACAGTTTTTATTTAGAAACTAATCAAGTTTTTGAATTTTATGTGTGATATTTTCATGGATACCCCATCTGTCTACCACATATTCGAAATAATTACGATAAAAACGATACATTGAACACAACGTACGAAAGAACCAATGAAAAAGTTGAACGACTACGGAAATGTGGCAATGCGATATTAATTCTTGAATTAGTAAAGAAGATGCTTCGTTTTTAAAAAATTACCCGCCAGTGCAACACACACTGCTAAATTCCCGAGCTGCTTTCTATGGGGGCGATCAGGCAACGTATGGAATTATTATAAATGTAAAGAAGGAGCAAAAATAAGACGTATAGACATTTGTTCTCTGTACCCTATACAGAGTGTGTCGTAAAAAAATGCACTGCTATATGCCATTGTGTAGGCCTTCATGAGTAGACAAAACTTTTGTATGGAGACCCTTGCTCAACAGGTTCGGAGCTACAGGAGCTTAAAGTAAATTTTGGCTGATTTCTTTACTTTTTGAAATTTTAAGTATAACTCCGCGACTGTGTAAGACAGGTACATTAACAAATATGATTTGGAAGCTTCAGAATAAAGGCTTTCTTATGAGTATCTACATTGGTTATAATCTGTTCAGATTTCGTCTGACTTTATAGTTCACATGACTTTATAGTTCGAAAAAGTTGAAATTTTAACTTTACATTTTTAAAATACGTTCATTTTCTAGGTGATATAACATGTTAGCTTTCTCCAATTTTAGCACAGGTGGAAACCTTGACAACTGAGTTTCAATTAGGTGTATAAATGATCACGCTACCTGATCTGGTTTAGGAGTTATTGAGTAATTGCTATTTTATTCAGTAATTGCTATTTTTTACCAAATTTTTTTCTTCAATGACTTAGAAAAATGTGCAACAACGGTTCAAAGTGGCCCATGCAATGGCATATAGCAGTGCACTTTGTTACGAGACACCCTGTATATAATAGAATATTATTTTATTATTAATTAAATTATTAAAAATATTGTATTAAAAATATAACAAATGAACAGAAACGTTAAATGCAAAATTTTACCGCCAACGTATTTACTACATCTTATTTTTCCAGTAAAACCAAACAGTAAGTTAACGTTTTCACTTTGTAAACTTGTGGCGAAGAAAAATTTATAGAAAAATATTGTTCCCACTTAAGTTCTTCAGGCTATTGAAAAGGGTTATCAAGTTTTGGAAATGTCAAACTATAACATATGTTATGGCAAACCACACAAACGGTTTGTTTGCAAATAAGATGAATAAGTTTTTTAAAATTAAACAAGAAGCTTCAGGCTGGCCCTCAAAATGCGGACCTAGACAAATCAAAAATACATCAAGGACTTTTCAAATATGGAACATATTCTGCAGTTGGAGTATGAAAAAATTTTCAATGATTCAGGTTTAAGATTATTTGCTAACTTAATATTAAAATCTTTCTGGGATAAATTCGGACAAAGAAAACTAACAAAAAACAACAATTATCAATCAACCAAATGATTTATATTACGGCTTAACAAACCCATCCATAGACGTCTACTCTATTTTCCCTGTGAATGAATATAACAAAATAGTTAATTGGCAGTACAAGAAAGAAGCAGCAGATTTATTATTAACTATTAAAGCATGTATTGGTGCTTATACAACAGCACAAGCACGATTAAAATAGTACAGTGACCTAGAAAAACTTGAACATAGAGTTTTGTATTATGGCACTGACTCTGTTGTCGTAAAAGTTTACATTAGTTGTAAAAGAGAATATAAATCTGCAATAGGAAACTATATTGAAAACATATAGATGAGTTCGAATGCTACGGTACAGGTAGCTACATAACAGAAATCGAAAGCGGAGGACCAAAAACTACTCGTACAAAGTGTTGAGTACAAAACATAACAAGGAAGTAATTATATGCAAGGGTAAGGGCTTTTGTTTAAACTATGAGGTGTTTCAAAAACTTTATTTCAATACAATCAAACAGTCAGTGCTATATCAGTTTATCATCTAACTATCACAAAATATTCGATGTAACAAAGAGCATAAAGTTATAATGGTTTCTGAAGTAAAAGTATATCAACCTAAATCAGAAAAACGCAGATTTTATTCAGATGATAGCTCGTTTCCTTATGGGTATAAAAGAATACCTTTTCCAAAATTCTAACCTTGAATTTACTTTTTTGAAATGTTTTAGGTTCTGCAAAAATAGTTTCTAACACATATTGTTCGTTTTCCTTTGTAACTTTTTTAGGAGAAATTTTTATGGTATTATGTTTTGTTGAATTGGATCTTTTAATCAGTGATTGTAAAATCACTTGTTAAAAATTACAAAATGTAAAGAGTTCAAAACACTCTCAGCATTTTTTGTTCTTACAGGTTCTGTATAAGCGTATTTGAAGAACGTATCAATAGCTGTAAAAATATATTTATATCCCCTGTTGAACCAATTAATCAATTTGCCATGTATGGTTTATTCCCTTCTGTTTGAATTTTCTTCTGGAGGAACATCTTCTAGCTGGTCTATGTATTTCAGACACTATTTGAGATTTTAACATTGTTTTTGTACCAATTTATCAAGTTTTGTAAGAAGATTTCTGGTGTAGTTTTTCTACAAGAAAACATTCGCAAGTATCAGGGCCGGAAGTGCAATTATTATAAGCCCAAGGAAAACACATAAAATAATTTCCATAAATAGAACTTTTTTTACCTTGCTCATCAATTTTTTTCAAATATTTTGTTTTCATGCTCGTTTAATAATACAGAGGAGCATGGTAATAAAAAGTGTTGTACATGCATTATTTAAACGTAAAACAATAAAAAAGCTTGCTCCTTTTATACATTTTTCGTACACATGTATGCCTACGACACTGTTAAAATTATTTCCATTCATATACGATACTATTTCTAGGATTGCATATATTTAGGATCAACGATTTGTGCAGTCTTTGAAATAAAGCAAAAATTAACTTAAAGAGGGTTAACATAATGCCCGATTTTAAGGGTTAATTGCGTGAGTTAAGAAAAATAATTATATTTTTTAGTGTCAAGGACCGTAAGCTTTTTGCGTTTATAGAAATTCGAAAATTTTTAGCAAAACAGCAAAAAGATAAAATTCTGGTTTTTATAATGTTAAAACAATTCGAGTGTCAATGTTGTTAAGCAAAAGTGTTGGTTGGGTAAACATGTCAATATTTAGCTTTCCCCTAAGCTCAACTATGTTACTATTGTAAAAAAGTTTTTGACGATCTTTCAAAGTGGTCATACTTTCCTAGCTTGGGTTTGTCTAATATCCAGCCAGCATATTCTAAGGGTCTTTCTAAAATTCTAACCCATGTAAAATATTTTTATTACACTTGGTTGTGGTAAAAGTGTCCCGTCTTTATCTTTATCGTTATTCCAACGACTTTCATCCTTTTTCAAAACTCGTACTTTCAGTTTAAAATATTTAGAAGACAGATCTCTGTATGTGTCAACGTGCAATAATGATACAAATTGTATACTTGATGCCTTATCCAATGAAGCTAAAGGATTATAGGATACTTCTCCAGATTTCAAAAAACTTAATTGAATAGGAGGCGATTTAAAAATATCTTGCTCAGATTTCATACATATCGTCATTTTGAATCAAAAAAATTTTGCTAACTTTCTTATTTTTGTTACGTCTTTTAAGTTTCAAAGCATTATGTTTCATTACAGAGGCTCTTTTTATAGTTCCTCTTTTTTTCCCAGAGTCATACATTTGATTAAATTTTTGTACAGATTCGCGTCTGGCATTTTTTAAAGCTTCTTTTCCACATATCTGGCAATATTTCTTTTATATTTGCTCCTGAAGAAAAATCAGATAATGCATTAATACCCGAATTAATAGCTTTCCTTTTTAAAATATTGACCCCTGATGTTATCAGACAAGTCCTCCGGAAAAAACTACCTCATCCTCTGCCTGTTAGATTGACACATTTGAATGAAATAAAGTGCCTACATCTCTAATACCACGCACTGATTGAACTAAATAGTACTTATGGTACACCCTCTCCACAATGAAATAATAAAATAATACATAAATTTTTAAATCAACATTTATTTATACCTTTTAAAATATAACGGCATTAGAAAAAAATCTGATGTGGTCAGCACATAACCGACCGAATTGTGTATTGTCTAGTTAAATGAAAGTGTTACAGAATATTATAAAAATGTCTGTTAAATACTTCTTTCCAATTTTTAGGACATTAGTAAGCTTATAGTTAACATACTTAGAAAAATGTAAATTTGGCTCTTAGTAGAGTTTCGCTTTGTGCTACCCGAATTCCCTGACAGTTAGTTTCGGTAACAACCAGAACTCAAATATCAAATTTCAACAAATTCCATCAATTTGTTCTGTGGATATGGTGAAAAATTTAAAATCGGCCCGCAAATCAGTTCTCGAGCCCTGATCTTTCCAAAAAAGTTATATGTTCATTGCTTTAATATGAGGAATTCATATATTAAATTTCAATGAAATCGGTTGATTATTTCTCTTTATATACACAAAAATGTATATTTGGCCCGTAGTAAACGCCCAGTTGCTGATGCCTGATTTCTTCCAAAAGTTAGGAATTTTGGCGTATGATCGGCCAAAGCTTATATATGAAATTTCAAGTAAATCTGTTGAATACTTTCTTCAAAATGGTGAAAAATGTAAAATCGGCCCGCAAATCCGTTTCCGAGCCCTGATCTTTCCAAAAAATTTATATGTTCATTGTTTTAATACGAGGAGTTCATGTATTAAATTTCAATGAAATCGGTTGATTATTTCTCTTTATAAACACAAAAACGTATATATCGCCCGTAGTAAACGTCTAGTTGCCGATGCCTGATTTCTTCCAAAACATACGAATTTTTGCGGACGGTCGAGCTGAGCTTATATATAAAATTTCAAGTAAATCGGTTGAATATTTTCTTCAAAATGTTCAAAAATGTAAAACAGGCCCGCTAAAAAGTGCAGTTCCCGAGGCCTGATATATACCAAAAGTTGATCGATCCGTGCCATGGTGGAAACAAACTTACATATAAAATTTCATCAAAATCGGTTTAGCCGAACTTGAGATACACGCGTGCACACACAGACCGACAGACGGACAGACCGACAGACCGACAGGTTGCTAAAAATAGTTTATTTACACTTCCCTACTATGGAGAAGTACGTTCCTACCGAAAACTCGATATGCAAAATTTGTTGCCATCATATAACCTACCTATTGTTTACACAATACGGTCGGTAAATATATATTAAAATATTATTAAACTAGTGCCCCCTATAAAACACAGTCATATAGATAAGGGGAAACACAGCCTATTATAATTTAGTAAGTTTGGTCATTATTATTTTCGTCAGACTTTTTAAATAATATTCGGAAATAATAAATAATATTAAAAAATTTCTTTATAGACAATATTGTCGGTTACGATACCATCGATCGTTTCTCCTTTTAGGGTATTATTTTTAATTTGGATTTTTAATGAGCTAGAATTCATAGCTCCCGAACAACCAGTATAAAGTTTGCCGTGAGAGAAACAGGTAAATTCCTACTTTTTCAAAGGTTTGGCCCTGAGATTTATTTATCGTCAAAGCATACGCAAGGTTCAATGGAAACTGATGTCTAACAAAATTAAATGGGAGAGCGGGGTCGTTTGCTGAATCTAAAAATATTCGTGGAATAAAATGAACCGATAAAGCAAACGATCCATTAATGATTTTAAATTGTATGACATTTTGACGAATTCCTAGAACAATCAACCGTGTTCCATTACACAATCCATTTTTTACAGATAAATTTCTCAATAACATTACAGTGCAACCTAATTTAATATTTAATTTAAATGGGGGCAATCCATAGGAGGATTTAAGCTATTCAAATATTCTACTGGAATATTTACTTGTAAATTATCATTTTCAGAGCCATCATTATTTTTCACGGAACCAATCGCATTGAAAGTTATTTTTTCAGAATTTTGTAAAAGAGCCAAAACATTTTCATTGATTAACCGTACATGTTCGTTTTTAGGGCAAAGAATTGCACGTTGAGAAATATTTTGTACATCAGTACATGTAAAACTTGTTCCAAAAATATCTGTTACTATATTATTTGACAAAAACGAATTTGGTACTTTAATAGAAAAGTTTGTTTTAGCAGATGATGGTTTGTTTAGCAGTAATAACACCTTTACCTACGTTTAAAAGCCATTGACTAAAGTCCGGATCAGTAATAGCTCGCATATTCCGCTCTAGTTTAAAGGTTTGAAAGTATTGCCATAAAATAGACTTTTTAATTGTACTTTTGATAACAGTGCCCCGAGAACCTTTTCGTACAACGGGTAAAACTTGACGAAAATCGCCACCTAAAATAATAACTTTTCCTCCAAAAGGAAGTTTGTTATCCATCAAATCTTGGAAAACCAAATCAACAATTTCAAGCGCCGTGCCAGGTGCCATGGGTGCCTTATCCCAGATAAGCAAATCTAAAGATTTTAAAATTTCTCTTTTAGATTGAGAAAGTCGAGGAAATTTAACTTTTGATAAATCTAAAGGTAAACTAAATGCTGAATGACACGTCATTCCTCCAGGCAAAAAAATCGCTGCTATTCCTGTCCATGCTACAATTAATGTTTTCTTATGAATTAGATTAATTTTTTCAATCAATGCGCGATATAAATGTTTTGCCGCCTGGACCATCAATATAAAAACATTTTTGAACATTTGAATTTTGGACGCATTTCATTATAGCATCTGCAGCTAAAAGTTGATCACTATTAAGATTTTTCCATAAAATATCAGTAATATTATCAACAACTATATTATCTGGATTTTGATAATATAATGTATTGGAATTATTTGCTTGAAATGAAAAATCAAGTTCAGCAGGTATATTTCCATCACCAACATCATCTGAATTTCGAGGAGCATTGTATGTTCTTTGATCATCATAGGTATTTCGAATAAAAATTAATGATATTTTGTTCATAGGTAAATTAACTGCTCTTCTCTCAGATAATTCTTTATCATAAACTGGCATAAGGAGAGACTTCATTTATTGCTGTGTTAATGATAATCATATTTTCAGGACGGCATTGGGCGTTAGCAGAATTTAACATTCGTGCTTCAAGAGAAATATCTGTATCATAAACATACAATTCAGAATAAGATGGTGGCTGAGACATTTCTCTAACACAATTCGGTTGTTATGATGTATCAATTTCAATATTTTCTGAAGTTCTATGATAAACTTCACCTGATATCTTATAGCAATAAGGTCCATTGCCAGAAATTTGTTCAATTTTGGCTCCCATCGATGCAAATGCATTTGCATTATTATGCTGTCTAATAAACTCCCTAAAATTTTTAGGCAATTCATCATTTCCGATAAATAAATTTTTCAATGAATCAGGAAAAGATATATATTGAGCCGAAATATGTGATAATTTATTATTATGGCAACACATACCTTTGCGCTCGTTTTTAAAATGAACAGCTTTGCAATAAACGCATTCATTATTTAAAGATCCAAGATTATGAGTACCCGGATTAATAAAATTCTCTGATCCAATAATGCCAGATTTAAAATGAGATCTGACAGCAACACGACGGCGTTGTTGTGCATGTTGTATAATGCATCCACGATTGTGTGAATAATGTGCTTGCTGCTGTTCCCTTATATTTTCATGATCTTGTGAATAATGTGTTTGCTGCTGTTCCTTTATATTATCACGATTTTGTGAATAATGTGCTTGCCGTTGCTCTCTAATAATATCACGATTTTGTAAATAGCGGACCCGATTCTGCTCTCTGATTCCTTCACGATTATTTTCATAGTATGTAGCATTAATATTTCTTTTATTATTATTATTATTATTATTAATATTATTAATATTTCTTCTCTCGGCCATCTCAACAACAAAATCTTTAATTAGAAATTTTTAAAAAAACATCTAATCACTTTTAAAAAGATTTTAAAAGATTGAAAAATTTCTTCCACTTTACATGATTTTTTAAAAAATTTGTTATTTTCATATTGAAAATATCAAAGCAGGCCTGACAAATTTTCAGAAAATAAAATTTTCATAAAATTTTTATAAAAAAATATTTTTGTTGTTGTTTCTAATAGAAAAATATTTTTGTTGTTGTTTATAATGTCTGACGAAAATGATGATGAAACTTACTAAATATAATATAGACATATATTAAATATATATTAAAAAAATCTGATGTGGTCAGCACATAACCGACCGAATTGTGTATTGTCTAGTTAAATGAAAGTGTTACAGAATATTATAAAAATGTCTGTTAAATACTTCTTTCCAATTTTTAGGACATTAGTAAGCTTATAGTTAACATACTTAGAAAAATGTAAATTTGGCTCTTAGTAGAGTTTCGCTTTGTGCTACCCGAATTCCCTGACAGTTAGTTTCGGTAACAACCAGAACTCGAATATCAAATTTCAACAAATTCCATCAATTTGTTCTGTGGATATGGTGAAAAATTTAAAATCGGCCCGCAAATCAGTTCTCGAGCCCTGATCTTTCCAAAAAAGTTATATGTTCATTGCTTTAATATGAGGAATTCATATATTAAATTTCAATGAAATCGGTTGATTATTTCTCTTTATATACATAAAAGTGTATGTTTGGCCCGTAGTAAACGTCTAGTTGCCGATGCCTTTCCAAAAAATTTACATTTTCATTGTTTTAATACGGGGAATTCATATATTAAATTTCAATGAAATCGGTTGATTATTTCTTTTTATATACACAAAAATGTATATTTTGCCCGTAGTAAACGTCTAGTTGCCGATGCCTGATTTCTTCCAAAACATACGAATTTTTACGGACGGTCGAGCTGAGCTTATATATAAAATTTCAAGTAAATCGGTTGAATATTTTCTTCAAAATGTTCAAAAATGTAAAACAGGCCCGCTAAAAAGTGCAGTTCCCGAGGCCTGATATATACCAAAAGTTGATCGATCCGTGCCATGGTGGAAACAAACTTACATATAAAATTTCATCAAAATCGGTTTAGCCGAACTTGAGATACACGCGTGCACACACAGACCGACAGACGGACAGACCGACAGACCGACAGGTTGCTAAAAATAGTTTATTTACACTTCCCTACTATGGAGAAGTACGTTCCTACCGAAAACTCGATATGCAAAATTTGTTGCCATCACATAACCTACCTATTGTTTACACAATACGGTCGGGAAAAATTTTGGTGGTATTAGAAGAATTTATATTTTTACAATATTTATTACAAAAGAGTACTGAAAAAAATTTAAAAGCATACATTACAATAATGTATGCTTTTAAATTCCTTTGCTGTATCGCTAAAATAATTTTCTACATTTACAGCTCTCAAACATCGCACATTTTTACCACCTACATTTTGAGGTTCAATAAAATCAATATATGAATAACGTATACATATATAAAAAAACAAATCCCGTTTTTCTTAAGAAATTAAATCTACACTTTCCAAATATGGTATAAATGATTCAAGAACATATGGTTTTTATTTGTTAAAGTCGTTCACTTTCAATAAGACTTGATTAAAACATGTTTTTAAGAGGTTGTTCAAAGTATAACCCCTTGCCAGTTTTAACTTTATATTCACTTTTGGTTTATTTATACAAAGGGTGGTGTAAGCCAAATTTTCAGGAAAATCAAACTTTTCATTTGTAGTATTATAATTTGTTTCATCATTTATAAAATTAAAAGTATCCCACATCAATTGTCGTACCACTTCCTTTCTTGAAAATTCGAATGCTGGAAGAAAGTTTTGAAGTAATGTGGGTTTTTTCAACATATTATTTACCTTTTTGCATGCCTTCAATAAATATTTGGGTACTTTTTGCTCATCCTTCACCATAAATATTTGGAAAAAAATTGTTAATATAAATTTCAGCAGCACCAACTTGAATCAGCAACAATGTGAATCAATCATAGATTTATCCATTTTGTTTGCAAAAGTACATAACGAATTATCACGATAGTAATTCATCGATGAGTCGCTGAGTAAAGTAATATAAAACTCATCATTTACTTGTATGTTGTCCATGAACTGGTGGATCTAAGTTCACTAACTGGAAAACTACGCTCTATTTGCGTATTACCTGCTTTAGCAGATCGTAAAACTATCCAGAGAAAGTGTTATAATATTTGAACATTTTGATTTCTGATAGATTAACCACTCCTCAGCTAACGCAGATAATGCTGTTGTTATTACATTGTCATTTGATTCCTCATCGTCAGTTTCTTTTTCTTGCACTTTTTTTACCCACGCTTTTTTTTTAATTTGAGTCTCAACATTTTTGTCAAATGGCTTCACACGTCTGGGTACCTTTGGCTCAATAAATTTTAAATTTTTCTTTCTTTCTTATAAATAAATTTTAATTTTTCTTCTTCCTTTTTCTTCCTTATATATACAAATACCATATTTCAATATCAGATAATTTCTTGTACAGTATAATTTTTATCGACCGTATTGTGTAAACAATAGGTAACAATTATGTGATGGCAACAAATTTTGCATATCGAGTTTTCAGTGGGAATGCACTTCTCCATAGTAGGGAAGTGTAAATAAACTATTTTTAGCAACCTGTCAATCTGTTGGTCTGTCGGTTTGTCGGTCTGTCGGTATGTCTGTCTAGGTGAGCGTGCGTGTATCTCAAGTTCGGCTGAACCGATTTTGATGAAATTTTATATGTAAGCTTATTTCCACCATAGCACGGATTGATTAACTTTTGCGATATGACAGGCCTCGGGAACTGCACATTTTAGCGGGCCTGTTTTACATTTTTGAACATTTTGAAGAAAATATTCAACCGATTTACTTGAAATTTTATATATAAGCTCAGCTCGACAGTCCGCGAAAATTCCTATGTTTTGGAAGAAATCAGGCATCGGCAACTAGGCGTTTACTAGGGGCCAAACATACATTTTTGTGTATATAAAGAGAAATAATCAACCGATTTCATTGAAATTTAATATATGCATTCCTCGTATTAAAACAATGAACATATAAATTTTTTGGAAAGATCAGGGCTCGAAAACTGATTTGCGGGCCATATTAAAACAATGAACATGTAAATTTTTTGGAAAGATCAGAGCTCGAGAACTGATTTGCGGGCCGATTTTACATTTTTCACCATATCCACAGAACAAATTGATGGAATTTCTAGAAATTTGATATTTGAGTTCTGGTTGTTACCGTAACTAACTGGCGAGTATTCAGGGAATTCGGGTAGCACAAAGCGAAACTCTATTAAGAGACAAATTTACATTTTTCTAGGTATGTTAACTATAAGCTTACTAATGTCCTAAAAATTGGAAAGAAGTATTTAACAGACATTTTTATAATATTCTGTAACTCTTTCATTTAACTAAACAATACACAATGCGGTCGGTTATGTGCTGACCACATCAGATTTTTTTCATATTGGTGTTCCATTCGTTTAATTCAATATGAGAATTTTACTTTAGTTTTGAGCGCTTTTCCAAAAAATTTTTGAAAAAAGCGCTTATTAGTTTCATTCTGTCCGACCGTCCGTCCGTCTCTCTGTGTGTCTGTTTACAAAACTTATTCACCTTTGAAGATGGCTGAAATTTGATATGTAGATCTTTACCCCCCCCCCCCCCCCCGCAAAAATCAAAAAACTGCCATTTTTTATGCTAACGCAGAAAGGCAGTCTTACTTCTCTTATCACGGCATACTATAGTTAAACTTTAAAAACAACAAAATAGCCGTTCAAATTTACCGTTATCTAAAATCCGTTTTTTCCAAATTTTTGACGTTGTTTTTCTTCTAGACCATTGGGGGAGCCTGAAATTTTAGTAGCTTTTTGGCACTAGCAAATAGCTCATTGTACATTTTTTCCATCTCTACTCCCTCTCAAGTTATCATCCCTCGAAATTTGTAAAACTTGAATTTTTGACGTCTTAAATTTCCGAAACCGCAAGCTTTTCCAAATTTATATAAACGCAAAAACCTAACGGTAAATCCCACGACATTAAAAAGATAATTATATTTATTAACTCACTTAACATTTTTCTTAACCCTTAAAATCGAGCATTATGTTAACCCCTCTTTAAATTAATTTTAGCTTTATTTTAAAGACTGCATAAATCGTTCATCCTAAATATATGCAACTCTAGAAATAGTTTCG